TAGGTACTTAATACTTAGTTCTGACAATACCAACTGTCAGTACTCACCAAGCACAACCTATAGAGAAATTATTAATGTTGGACCGGGGATTTTAATATTAATAAATGTCATATTGTGACAATATTTAATTATACAATTAAAAATTAAATTAATATAAAAAGTATACCTATTTTTTAAAGAAAGCAAACCAGTACATATATTTATATAATTAGGTATTTAATATTACCTACTTATTATTTGTTTATTATTGTGTTAACTAATTTTTTATTAACATATTTTCTATATTTTAAAAACTTGTTTAATTATTGATTATTTTTCTCACTAAGAAAATAATTTTAGTATAAATAATGTAATATAATATTATTGAAAATCTCATACCMAGTCAATTAATAATAATAAATAATAAAAATAAATATTTTTGATTGTAATCAGTGATACGTAGGTACTAAATTTGTAGTGTAGATTAAGGTTATAACTTATAATTCATTGTCATCGCTTTCACTATCATAGATCATCATAATAATATTGTTTTTATAATTTATAATAGTTTTATTTTTCTTCTGATCTTTAGTTATTATGTCTAGGTAATATGTATATATTTATTATTTAAAGTCTATCTATAGAATTGTTTCTGTTTCATTAATTTCTAATAATTAAACTTGAAATTGTATTATTTTATATTTGACATTATTCTTTTTAAGTCAGATATTTCATTTCTATTCTCATTACAAAATATACAGAATGCTATACATAATTTGTACCTATTGTTCATAGTTGACTGTCTCTGGTGATCAGGAGATCAGGAAATGACAAAATTGATTCATTTTAACATATTATTTTTGTGTACCTATTCAGAAATAAAACAATTTAAATTATCTTCTGAATGATAACATTTATTTTTGTTCATTTAATTTTTTTCATAACTACTTACTAGTCATAATTCATAATTAATTAATCATAGCGGAGAGGATGGTGGTAGCTTGCTCGTAGCCCTCCCTGCATACGTCTAGTTATATGTGATTTTGGCATAAAACTAACGCATCAATACCACCACTAGGTGCTGAGCCATACGAAATAAATAATTAATCATAGCTAATCATATATTTTAATCTCTTCAATGAATTCTTATATTCTTACATTTTTATGAAATAAAATTTTTTTGCAGGGTCAACCACGCTAAGGGGTCAACAAGTGAATTTGATGGATATCCAATGTCTGCAAGTGCTTCTGAATCGGACGGAGTGTTTGTAATTGCCGATCCCTTAATTGGGGATATAGATAAGTCTAATAAATACATATTACCCATAAATGACGATTAAATTAAAAATATTTATTTCCGTTTAAAAGTATATGGCTTATTTAAATCACATCACATCAACCTCAAAAGTGGTAATTTTAATTATATTATTTAAGTCTATTTTTATTTAGTAAAATATTGTTCCTTTATTGTATCAATTATTTATTCTGTACTTACATAATGATATTTTTCCATATAAAATACAATTATTTTATGTATATTCAATATTTATTATAGTGTGAACATTCATTAAAGCAACGTTTAGGTTGTTACTTGTTGCTGTCTAAGACATAGCAAGTAACGACTAAAAAAGTTGCACGCAATTTTATTATTTGCCTTAAACCTGCAACACTTAAAACATACATTTATACTTATAAATCTTGTTAATGATGTATACATAATATTTTAAGTCACGATATTAAAATATATTTTATTGAATTGCTTATACGTATACAATATACATAATAATAATAACTTAAAAGTTTCAAATACAATAGACTATAGAGTATACCTATAGTAAGTATAAATAGATACACCTAGGTGGGTATGCCAACTCCCTCTCATGACTTTTTTGTGAGAATGGCACATCATGTATTTATTTATAAAAAACTAAATTCCCATGTAAGCTGTAAATTACTTAGATAATACCATTGATTACATTGATTACCATTGATACATGATCTTTTATATTTTTTACCGCGCTCTTTGGAGCGACAACGCATATCAGTGTTGGTAGATGAATATTATTAATTATTAATTAATGTTTTCATATGTGAATACATTTATAAACGTACTAGTTATAAAGACCTCACAATATAACGCTTATGAAATGTACAGTATAACTAAGTACAAACATTTTATTGAGAGGTAATAGGTGTAAAGTATCACAGAATATCATTCACACTTCACACATCCATAAACATGAGTAAATTACGCCACTAAACAAATCACAATGGTGTATGTTCAATGTTGTATTATTTTCACGTCTTGTTAGTTGGTGCTCTAATATTTTTTGAAATATATATTTAAATGCGTTTATGCGTGAACAACATTTTATTGCTACGTGATATTATGTGATATTATTCTATCATTAACGAATTTCAAAATATTTAGTCTTTACAATATACAATATACATCGTACATTTTTTGGGAAGGGATAGTGTGAAAAGTTTGAAATTTTAACAGTAACCTATTTATTAGAGTATATAAAATGAAAAAAAAAAAAAAAATTGTTTTACCTAAAAAAAAATTCAGAACTGAAAGGGTTAATAAAATTACATTGAATTGTATACACGAGACTTGTACAAAACAATATGAATTATATAAAAATTAATAAATTAAGCGTTTGATAAAACAAGTGATACCAGTTATAGATTGATAAATATTAATAACAAGTTATTTTATCTTATGAGTTATTTTATTATTTAGTGTATAACATTCAATAAATTGCAATTGCTTCACGGCGGAGGTAGGCAAAATAACGTGCATAGCATATTATAATACTCATAGTCGTACGGCGTAGAATATTATTATACCTTCGTGTGACTTGATAATTATTTATCCGGTACGTCTTGTTATTGGTTAAATGTTTTGGAGATACGAGGAATTCTCTATGGGTGTAACTCTATTGTCACATTCATACTTGGTAGAACGAGTTAGTGATTACCAAAATTTAATTTTTCTACTTACCATAAACTGTATATTGTACGGCATTATAAAAATTAAATAATACATTAAGCAAAATAATAAAGGTTACATGTAATAATGTCAAAATCGGTAAAAAAAAATGATTTATATTGAACACAAAATATTTCAGCAATAATTTTATATTGCTTTAAATATTTTTCAGCAATACATTATTAAATAGTCAATAATCTAGTTCGTAATTAGGGTTTCAAAGTTCAGACCTTTAAATGTTCCTAACGAACTGGAGAATTGTATAACAACATTTTATGAAATTGACCGTCAGTTATAACTGTTCACAAATGTTTTTTTTTTTGCTATTAAAATATATTTCCTTCGGATTTTCTTATTAAATAATTTTTAATTTTTTTTACTAACAACATTTACCTTCCATGACGTAGGCCATTGGGATAAAATAATAAAATAATATTTATCTAAATATCTATTCATTTATGATTGTTATCTGGTTGTTGGTATCAAGATCGGTGTAGGTAGATTGTTGTTAATTTAATCAAGCTTTAAATGTAAAAAAAACCTTAAACGATTCATGGTAAATAATATTGCACATCATTAATATGTTTTCTAAAAATGCAAAAAAACATAATTCATAAAAAATTCTTACTACCTATTAGAAAAATTACTCAGATAGAATAGTAATATATGCGGATATAGCTGGATACAGCTTGGATTTGGAAATGAAATAAATGTTATTTAGTGGGTATCTATTTATTATATTCACCATTATTTTGTAGGGCCTTTCTATCAAAATTTAGTTTTAAAAATATAGATTTACGTCTGTATTTCCATGAAATTCTATTAACAGTATTATGGAATGTATCGTATGGCGTAAATATCTACATCTTGTCTGCAGACTTGCAGCTTATCGATTTTAATCATCGATTATCGCAGTTATACCCTTCCCTTCCTCATAATTGCTATAGGTACTCGAAGTCCTAAACGACCTACGTATTCATTATTCAAACTATAATTGCCTGCTATATAACATGTATATATGCGATTTTACTAGGCTGTTGACTATGCGCATACTAGTCAGTTACATTTATGTGACTTTCAAGTACAAATTGTACCATACGGCGTGTAAAATGTTTATTATTTTCTAAAATTTATTTGAAATTTCAATTATTATACCTATGGCAAAAAAAAAGTTTCAGACTGTTAGGGAAAGGAGGGAAAAAGTTGGACAATATTAGAAGAACACGGAAAATTATTAAATTACCTAATCAGGTGGGCTTAAGAGGTAAGTTATTTTATGTTCATAATTGATCAAATATTAAAATAACATAATTACAAAAATTGGGATTGCTAATTTTACTCTGAGATTACCCAAAAACATAACACATTAGGTAATGCATTTCGAGGACGAGGGTCAGTGAGATAAAACAATATCATGTGTCCTGAAATAATATGAAATAATCATGGTTATGCAATATTGCACCAAAATAGATTATAGGTATCAGGCCCGAAAAAGAAAGATATTAAATTTGTTATAAGTATATTAAGATGTATAAAAAAATTGCAATTTTAAAATACTTATAACTCACTTCAAAATTAAAATATAGTAAAAATCCCACGAAAAATAATAAAATAATATTCTTATCTTTAAACTTTATAAGAGGTCAATTTCAATTCACTCTAACTAACGGAGTAAAGCGTTATCTGCTGAGCGTGAAATTTTCTATGCTACGCACTTGTAAGACGAAGACAACACAATACGTGCAATAGGTAATCATTATATTTTATTTTATCTATGATTAAGGTGTATCGACGGTTCCAACTGGTTGTGACTATTACAATTGACATCGTTTGATATAAAACCGTGCTTAATCAATGTTGTTTAGTTAAATATTTTATTTTGTTTTATCAACAAATCACGACACGGTCGCTTGACTTTCGACGGAGTACGTCGCGAGACTAATCATAATCACATTTCACACAACCAGCAAACGGGACTGACAGCTGTTACGATTTTTCTTATATATACCGAGCGCATTATACACTTCAGCCTACCATCCCACAAACGCAAAGCAAATAAACTTCAGCATTGCTATTAGTAACATAGCGCTCTCAACAGTCAATCGTAAGCGTAATTCTTGCCTACAGTCACTCATTCAATCAATCGAAATGGCATCTGGCACTGGTAAGACGATGAAAAAGCCACCGGGAAAAGCGCAAATGAACGTCGTGGACAAGCCTAAGGGCAACAGGAAGTACAAGACCAAGAGGAAAGAAACGTACGGCATCTACATCTACAAAGTGCTCAAACAAGTGCACCCCGACACCGGCGTCTCGTCGAAGGCAATGAGCATCATGAACAGCTTCGTCAACGACCTCTTCGAGCGCATCGCCAGCGAGGCCAGTCGCCTGGCCCAGTACAACAAGCGTAGAACGATCAGCAGTAGGGAGATCCAAACGGCCGTCCGRCTTTTGTTGCCCGGCGAACTGGCCAAGCACGCCGTCAGCGAAGGCACTAAGGCCGTGACAAAGTATACCAGCTCCAAATAATGAGACCTAATCGGCTCCAAATTATGTATATTTTCTAAATGTATTAATATTATTATAGTAGACACATAAATATTTATCAAACTTTACACCTCTAAATTAATAATTAAATAGGCCCTTCTCAGGGCCACAACATTTTTTAACCGATGGGGACAGTGGACGCAAATGGAATGATTATCTACCTAGATCGTGAAAACAATAGTATCCAATACGCCAATCATAGCCCATTCGATTAGTTTGATTTTATGTTGTGACTGATAACTCATTATTTTAATATTCGATGTTCATTATACTAGTATATGACCGTGTAATACCCTTCTTCAGAACAATTTGCTTAGCTATTTTCCGGACTTCCGGTTCTATTTTGCAAAACGATGTTCGACGACAGCTGTAGAAATACTGAACGTAGATAATATCCTATACCCAGTATATGGCTGTCCTTAGCTCAGTTYGCTCAAAAGAGTAACATTTATTTTTATACAAACAAATATTACAACTCGAATGATGTGACCATTCACAAGAATTGCGTCCATAGGTGTAGCTAGAAATTTACAATATGAATATAAATAATAAAATAATATCATACATTCCACTCATGGTGATGTAATATCTTAAAATTAATTATTTTTTAACTAAATAATACCTTAACTGTTATTATTGCGATATATAGTTTTTTGTAATAATACACGTTTAGGTGTATGATGTATACGCCTATACGACCTACCTAACGCTTTTATGAAAAAAAAACCCCGAAATTGAAGTCACTTAATTATATGATGAATTCAATACTATATTTATTATACACCGAAAATTCTAATTTTAATATTATTTGTCGTTGTAATCAAGCGTCTGAGGGCTCTGCTCATTTGTCTTTATTAAGGGGCAATATTTAGGCAATATGCAATTTTGTTGCCGCCGACCATGGAATTTGTGTTAGTCTTCAATCATGATTAGTATGAGTGTAATATTGTTTTCGCTGATCTACGCACGTGCCCCCATGTCAACGGTACCACCGACCAAAAATAATAATAGGTGATTTTTAATTTCGTTGCTTAAAATAAACATAGTAAAAATAATAAAAGTTAGGAAAAATTGGCCATATTCAAAATCGTATTATTTTATTTTATTTATTTTATTTTACAATACGGGACGAACCCTTTAGTACATGATTATAATTGTATAATAATAATAGTTTTGTTTATGGAAACGAGGCTCAATTTTGGAGAGAGAATGAAGGGTCACTGTTGGCAATGCGCATAAGAAGGGTGATCGGTGAGTTAAGATAGTAGTTTGAGGAAGAGAAAGGTATATGAAATATGGTTTAGACTTAGAATTTTGAAAACTCAAGTCCAATGTGCCCTGTAAAAAGTATTTCTCTAATTTCAAAAAAAAAAAATAACACTTTTGAAATCAGATCACTCTACGAGGCGTGAGAGTTTTTATTGTAAAGCATGTTATTATTATTATTGAACAAAAAAAAATAGGTCACGTGCAAACCCCATGATAAATCACAGTATTGTGTACTTGCAAACGAAGTAGAAAAACCTATTTGAAAAACACTAGTATAGTACATACCTATAAGTTACCATGTCCAATTAAAATTATAATCAATATTTTTGGTTTTCTTCTGTTTGTAAATTATTTAAGGTATTCTTTGCCCTTGTACAATACAATTATATTTTTAATTTTAATTAAACTACAAATCATTTTTAAGCAGATATTAAATGAAAAGAAAACTAATCAAAATAATGAATCTTGTTTATTCAACCTTTTAATAAGTATGTAAGACAAATTTTATGTCGGATATACCTAATAAAATATTATAATATATTGTAATAGTGTCTATAATACGTTTGTTAAGTAGGTACTTGATATTTGATTTGGATTTTGTTTATTTCATTTAAACTAAAATCACTTAAATAATATTTTATTACAGAACTTTTTAATTCCAAATTATTTAAATACAATCACTTTTACTACATAATAATATGTTCTTTATCAGGTTTCTTTAAAAAAAAAAACTTTTAAATGTTTTGAATTTTTCGAACACTATATAAAAATATCTGTACAAGTAATTAAATATATTTATTTAGGCAAATTTATAATATGGACTACTGATTTTATTTTAATACTAATTGAGTGTTCCCACCTCCATAAATCCATGATTTGTTGTTTAGTATCTAATAGCGTACTATAATACCATAATAATTATGATAGACACACTAGAAAAGTCAAATATTAATTTAATATATATAGGAAAACTAAAAACAGGAAAGAAAAAATGGTGAAAATTCATGTCATATTGATACTTACGATTTTTAATCAGCTATACACAAGGTGCGTGACATTTAYGAATAAGATTGGTAGAGTACAAAGACCTAAATGTCGAATAAGCAGTGTCAATCAACCGAAATAATACAATACAAAACATAATTGTTTAATAAACGTATATAAATTAACAACGTCATTTGTAGATAAAAATAATAAAATTATAAATACTAATAATGTATAATATTAWGTAATAGCAAAAGTAAAATCATACTAAAAAAATCACGTAAGTGAGTGGATGTCGCTCTACAGTACAGTAAGTTACTGTAATGGATGGTATTAAATTTGAATTCAATGATGTAATACCTAACGAGTGTAGAGGTTTATTACACACTTGATACACTGGATACACTTGATACACTGGATACACTTGATACACTTGATACACTTGATAATTTTAAGCAAGTTTATAGGGAGAAAAAGTTTTTACAGAATAAAAAAGAAAAAGAAAATGAAAAAGAAATAAACATCATTGTAAAACCAATACATTCCTCGCTCAGCTCAAAATCTAAAAACACTGAACAAAGTAATMCATCGTCTTCTGTTTGATTGAGGCACGAAACCAATCCGGTAAAGTAAAACTGTTGTATCAGTGTGCAGGCGATTGTGATGTTTTGTTGTATCTTTCGTGTTTGGTGACTAATTAAGGACCTATGGATAAATGGCTAGCTGGAGGGTATCAATGGTTTTGTCAGAACAAGTGTACAACAGTGTTCAGCGACTAGACGTTTCACATTTCAAATAAAAATGCTCGCATTGAATTTGTTGTATACAAAAAAGACGGTGTTTCCGAATTGCGGACATAAACCGTAAAAACATGCGAGTTGCGGACGAAATCTAAAAAGGTAACATACGAATTGCGGACACAAATATAAGATACTAATTGCGGACAAATTACCTATTATTATTWTTAAGTCATCCTAATATATATCAATTGATCGAGGCCCTAAATGAAGTACAGACTAGTAGCTATACGAAAATGAATTGTTCTGCAGTGCGAAATTTAAAACGAGCA